CTTGATAAAACTTGGCAAAAATGCCTCCTGTGTACCAACTTAGACCTCAGTGTATGTATTGTAGCCCTAAAACAAACTTAAGACCCTCAAAAAAAAGAGTTCACCAACTCTATGAAAGCATTATAACTTCATCGATCTAGGCTATGTTTACCATATTTACATGAAAAGATCGAAAGGATCTAGATCTAGATCTAATTTTAGAAACCACACTTTGGGCTGATAGTTTTTTACTTTGACACATGAAAATACAAAAAAATAGTCTATTGATTTCATTATTTAAAAAATTAACCTTCAAATTTGTGTTTCAAAAACATTTTTACATAAATTCGTTCCTTATATCTGCGAATTTAGAATTCCTGAAGAACATTCTTTCATTAGACATTACGCTAAATGTTACACAATAACACATCTCTCTATTCCTAGGTCTAAAACTCTAATTCCACTCTAAGATGATACAACTTCTCTTCGCAAAGTTTTATAATTAAACACATGAACATACTAATTATAGTTCATTCATTTCATATTTTAATCAAACTAACATTCAAATTTGTTTTCCTAAAGCATTTTTCATACATTCGTTCGCTAAAGCTGCAAAGCCGTGTTGAGATATATTCATTCATGAATCGCGTACAGAATGAGCTCTCCAAGCCAATATTTAAATTAAATTAGTCTAGATCTAGATCTGTCTAATTCAAGATCTACTTCATACTTTAACATATGAACCATAGACTTATATAGTATATCTAGACTGGAAACCGGAAATAAATCCTTATCCGCGACTGATCGATTCACAGACCTATATATATATATGTAGATTTTTATGTACGTAAACTCTTTTTTAAGCGCTAAGGGGAGTCGCCCCAATAAATCTTAGAAAATTAATGATCTTTAGTTTTCAAAGTTTAGAAATAATGCAAAATCATTTCTCGGATATTCACGCAAATATATGAAACAAAGCCATTTCCTGTTTGTTTCCATTGAGATAATGTTTCAAAAATCCTAGATCGAAATAGTTCATGTTGATTTAAATCATCTTATGTACATTTAAATATATTTATTACCTATATCTTTCTAGATTATGTATCTAAAAATTGCAAAATAATAATTATGAGACGAGAGTACTCTTATTTTTTATCCTCAATTACTAGATCTAGATCTAAAAGTTAAATTATATGTTACATAGGTTAGGGTTGAAAAAAAAAAGACTGTACTTTTCTGAACTACTTTACAAAACAACGCCTTGATCCAACTTTCTAAAACTTTTTCACATTTTTTGAAGTTTTAAAAAGTCTCCATGGCCAGTCTAGATATAGTATATATAAGTCTATGATATGAAGATACAAAATTAAGTCTATTCATTTCATATTTTAATCAAATATATGTAGGCATACAAGCAAATGTTTTTATTTTTAAAAAATTGAATTAGGTCGATTAGCTATTTTGATAGCTTCATTCATACTATTTTTCCATTCACGCATTCGTCTTACTTATTATTATTTCGTTTAATTGTTTACAAAACACTCTCACTGGCTGTCCAGAATTTGATTATTTGATATATCGACAATGATACGCAATTAAAGCCGCGGGTAATATATGTCTAGTATTGTATAAATCCTAACTAAAATACTAAGCCTAAAACTATTTCTAATCCCTACCCTTTTAGTAGGATAACCCTACATTCCAACCTAAACGGAATCACATAACACTGAATGAAAAGTGACAATGCATCTAGTTATTGGTTGAAATGTTTAATGCCTTCTTTCTATTTGCTGGATATTTCAGTCCCTGTTATGTTAATCCCAGAGTCATCATTTTGTCCCATTGTGCGGTCACTAATGTCCGTCCTGGCAGGCGCTGACCAACAAGGTAAATCTTTTAATTCAGACATTATATTTACCAGGGTCCAGTTAGATGTATTATAGATGCAGACATCATATTTACCAGGGTCCAGTTAGATGTATTATAGATGCAGACATCATATTTACCAGGGTCCAGTTAGATCTAATATAGATGCAGACATCATATTTACCAGGGTCCAGTTAGATGTATTATAGATGCAGACATCATATTTACCAGGGTCCAGTTAGATCTAATATAGATGCAGACATCGGATTTACCAGGGTCCAGTTAGATCTAATATAGATGCAGACATCGGATTTACCAGGGTCCAGTTAAATCTAATATAGATGCAGACATCATATTTACCAGGATCCAGTTAGATCTAATATAAACGCAGACATCATATTTACCATGGTCTAGTTAGATCTAATATAGATGCAGACATCATATTTACCAGTGTCCAGTTAGAGTGCCTAATACCAATTAACAGCCACATTACTTCCTAACAGTGCCGGATTTACCAATAAGTAACATAAGCCATGGGCTTAGGGCCACCACTTACCTATGAGGCCCTCAAATATTGTTTTGAGAAAAATTAGAGAAATAAATGTCCATATGTTAATTACTAGGGGCCCCACTTACTTAATGCACTCTTCATATTTACAAAGAGGATAATAACAAAGAATTTCACACTGCATAGGTAAATAAACATTTGATAATAGCCTACATAGGTATACAAACATTGGATAACACATAGGTATACAAACATTTGTTAACACATAGGTATACAAACATTTTACACTCATGTTCAGAAAATCATATGTTCAGATAGGATCTGTTCGGGTCAGATCGTAATCTCGTATCAGATACGGATCGGATCGGATAGGATCAGATTGGAACGGATTATATCAGATCAGATTATTACAAATAACTAACCTGCATAATGATCGAACCTTTTATTATATAAAACTAGTCGACTTTGTGCCTCATGTATTTTGCAAAATAAGTATAAGTATTTAATATAATAAGTATTTAATATAATAAGTATAATGTAATGATAGCTACTACGAGAATAACGGACACTAATTGTAGTTCCGGTTTAAACGTAGACTTTTGTTCAACATCCATCAATGAGATTTTTCCAAACATGTATCTCTTCCATCAGGGGCTCTGTTTGCAAGTATTGCTATCATGGAGTCACTCTGTCAGCTTGTGACCACGACAGGGTTCAATAAAATCTACGCTTTGACTGTCAGCTACATGCCTGGAGCTGTCTACCTTGTCATGGCGTCCTGTGGTTACACTTCATTGATTCTCTTCTGGTAACTTGACATCTTTTGTTTTGTCTTGCGAAACATTTTAATGCTAAACACTTGCTAGATGCTTGAGAGCCACATTGCATGAAAAATTAGTTTAAGAAGGCCACCAACTAGTGCCTTGGGATATAAACATTTTTTTAAAAAATCAACTCCTACTTAATGTTTTAATAGGATAATTAATACACTTCACGTTCATAGTTTATAGTAAGCGAAACATTCATAGTTTATAGCAAGCAAAACATTCATAGTTTATAGTAAGCAAAACATTCATAGTTTATAGTAAGCAAAACATTCATAGTCTATAGTAAGCAAAGCATTCATAGTTTATAGTAAGCTAAACATTCATAGTTTATAGTAAGCGAAACATTCATAGTTTATAGCAAGCGAAACATTCATAGTTTATAGTAAGCTAAACATTCATAGTTTATAGTAAGCGAAACATTCATAGTTTATATTAAGTGAAACATTCATAGTTTATAGTAAGCTAAACATTCATAGTTTATAGTAAGCGAAACATTCATAGTTTATAGCAAGCGAAACATTCATAGTTTATAGTAAGCTAAACATTCATAGTTTATAGTAAGCGAAACATTCATAGTTTATATTAAGTGAAACATTCATAGTTGATAGTAAGCTAAACATTCATAGTTTATAGTAAGCGAAACATTCATAGTTTATAGCAAGCGAAACATTCATAGTTTATAGTAAGCGAAACATTCATAGTTTATAGTAGTAGCAGGAAGTTGGAATAGAGCTCTAATGCAGTAAAAATGTTTCAAATGTTATTGTCTTTCATACTCAAGTATGCCCCAGTGCACTGTGGGTCCTATCTCTTTTGGGAGGGAGTGGGGAATCTAGGGGAAGTTTTCGTGCTGCATTTCGGCGCTTAGCAAACAGCTTCAGTCTAGACTCGAAGTTAAGCCCCCTTGAAAAGGTAACTACGGGGTTTACCCCACTCAAATATACTTTCGGAGGTAAACATTTTGAGTTACCCTCCCCTTCTAGTAGTCATCTTCATTTATTATCTCCCTCATCAATTTATTTGAAACAAAAATATTGAGTTTTACGCAATGCTTCTTAGACCTAGAGGATGATTCCTTTGATAGCATTGCGGTTTTTAAAAATAGTTCAGGGGTTTAAATCAAGTTTAGTTTTGTTTCTCAAGCATTTAAAGTTGGGGAAACTTAACACAATTATCACCTTCGATTCGAAAAAATGTTAAACTGATTCAGAGCAAATTGTTGCAGAAGCATTGAAAAGTGGAGTGCCTAATAAGAAATCAAACTATAATGGTTCTTATTAAAATAGTTCTTATATTGCCTAAAGTTCTATTTTTAGAGATACATGTGATGCCAACTCCACTTTGTGTTTCAGCATTTATTTCTGTGTTCGAGATCGACCAACGCAGCAACATGAACTAGTGATTAACTCTTCTGAAGGAGAAAAGAAACTGCTGCAAATATCGAATCTTGATCTCTAAGAATTGTTAGCAACACTTGGACATTTCTGTGATCATTGATTGTATATTTTTTAAATATTTTTAATGCAATCTTTGTATATTTACTTTCTTTAAAAAACACATGTCTTCCATATGTACGCTTAAGCAAACTGCTGATGTATAAATATGTAAATATGAGATGATAGTGACCACATACTGACCACTCGTCATAACACATTCACATTCGCTGTTTGATATTGACCACAAGTTGATGAAACATTTTATTTATCATTTGACTGACTTTAAGATGACCCCTTACAAAATATTCCAAATATGATTTATAGTTATGCCCTTTTTGGCTGAAGTGACCACAAGAAGTAGTGACCACAAGAAGTAGTGACCACAAGAAGTAGTGACCACAAGAAGTATTGACCACAAGAAGTAGTGACAATAAGAAGTAATGACTACTTGAGGCAGTGACCATAAGAAGTTGTGCCACATTACTAACTTGTTTAAATTTTAATATCTTCAATGACTGACCACACACACACAGAAAGTATTGAAAAACACAGCTCTGTTTAGTAGCTGTATGTATATACTTATTCTGTTCACTTTCGTACATTCCTGTCATTCCATGAAACATACAATCTTTCACTTATTTTTCAAGTGGTGTATTTGATAGTAAAATGCTTATGTGTATATTGAACTTTACTGATTACCCTTACCTGATAGATTTTGTATATCAGCTCACTCAATTTGTTTGTAGTGCCTTCATTTCTATTGCCCCCAGCCTAATCGGGGAAGCCATATGCTCTTGACCTGTATGGTAATATTGGCGCACAGCTGCGCTCAACAACACAACCTGGCAGGGTTTTGTCCAGGGCAAGAGAGAGTTTGAACTTCTCAGGTACACACACATAGACACACACACACAGACAGTGTTTGATGATTATGCAGATGGTGAATGTCTTTGTCAATGGTGGTTGACTGGCTGTTATCCTGCGGGATTTGTCCCACGTAGCAAACCTGCCTTGATTTTAAGTAAACAGGCGAGTCAAATTCCTCCTTCCTTCTCTCCCTCCCTCTCTCTCTCTCTCTCTCTTGAGCCCATATTTTTTCAAGCGATAGAGAGGCAACACTTGTTATGGCATCCTCACTTGTTTCAGCCTCGGTGTCTATGACGCCTCTCGTGTTAATTAGGATTTCACCTCGTCATTCAGAGTTTATCATTTGGGCATTAGTGAACTTTTTAGTAGACTTTTTAGTCCAGGGAAATACAAATAATTCTTTAATATTCAATAAGCACATAATGACATCAACTTTCAATAAATATAATACACAAAACAACAGTCCAGGAAGCGACCGTCCAACCTTCCTGGACCCGGGACCTCACTAACTAACACACTCTCTTGCACATTCAAGGAAGACTATATCATTCAGTTCGTAACACGTGCAAGACTAGTCACATTCATAACCTGGGATTACATAAACAAGGGAATATAACTATCATACCAAAATATCAAAGTAACATATTCATTTTCAGCATACCCCCCCCCCCCCCGACATGTATGTTTAAAAATGGTAGCATTGCAGTACATTATTCTCCTATTCATTTTGTAAATGTCTCCGTTAGAAGAATTTTCAGGTGTTTTTTAAATCACAAAATATGTAGTCCTCAAAAATGCAGATTAGACAAAATAGTGGAATATTAATGTAATTTAAGGTCGGTAGTGGGTGATATTTGTATTATAAAATTATATCTAGAGACTTATATGTACATTCTGCCTTAAGAATTTGGCTGTGATATTAATATGTATACTGTATATGTGTATGGCACTTTTGATAAACAGGTTATAACCGTTATGTGGTCTTTTTATTTGTGGCCTTAAGTTATTTAATTTATTAAAAGTAAAGATTTTATTATTGCTTAGTGTAAGCATTAGGTTGTCCTTAATATATATATATATATATATATATATATATATATATATATATATATACATAAAGCTCAAGCTGAAGCTTTACACAAATATCTATTGGTCCTAACAACACACGACTAGGAAAAAAAAAGAGAGACAAAAACCAGGACTAGGAAGTAAATTATCTTCAACTCTGAAGGAACATTCGAAACATTTTTATAAGATACGCTTTGTTTAATTTTTTTAAAGAATTGTATTTTATATTTTGGTTGTTTGAGTTAGTTCTACGGATAGGGCCGCCACAGTGTACAGACATCTTCAATTAATGTTATTATCTCCCTTTTTCGTGTTATAAAATAGGTGTTGTAGCTAAGATTAACAAAACTCTGGTTTTCACAGAAAGAAAAGCAATGGCAATGATCTGTTTTTACTTTCTACAGCTCTGTTCAATTCGTAATGAGGTTTCTTGTCAATCTGTTGCATCTATTACATTTTCCCTTTGGTAAATGCTTCTAATGTGTTACAATTCTGGGTAAATGTATTTTCTTTATCTATCATCCAGCTATAGTTGTTACCACTGTAATATTCTATAGTGCCATTTCCTTGATTATATGCAGTTTACACAATTATTTTTTTACACATAAATTTTTATTAAATTTCATTTACATTTTTTTTTTCAGTCTATACTGTTAATATTTTGTGTGCAATTATTTACATTAAATGTTTTGAAAATCTGGATTATGTACAGAGACAGATGACCAAGCAATGAAATGAAATACTAATATTAGGGCCTACCTACTCGAGAGTTGACTGAGATATCTTGGATATTCTTAAGATCCACTTTTAAACCTAAAATGCACATTGGATCTTTGATACCCACTATTTGGCCACATAAGCGACTATGAATCATCTCAGAGAAATTATTACAACAATAATAATGTGATGAATGCCTGGGCACTTGCTATGGTCGAGACGATGTCGTCCACACAGCCTTCCCCCCCCCCCACTCCACTCTCTCTCTAGGCTGCTTGGTTCCAGGGAACGGCAAGTGCCGATGCAGTTCGAGAGCAGGGGCGTCACAGGTTCTGCAATGTGTAACACTCTGCAGCAAGCTGCCTAAGGGTCTCCCGCTGCTCAGGATTGACTCCCGAAGCATTCCCATGTTCGGGTATAGCTACAGGGCAAAGAAAATTGAATTAAGATTTTGTCTTCTCCCAGGTGGGTAGCCAGCCAAGACTAACGAGTCTCTCCTGTCCTGAGTTTTGAGGTTTAGGCGCCAATGTAAGGTACTTAAGTAACTAGTGTTAGGTACTTATGTAACTAGTGTAAGGTACTTCACTTGCTGTTACAGGAAATAAAAAGGATTCAGAATTCTACCCTGGAACTTAGAGTAAAATTTCTATTTAAATATTGTCAGACAAAAATGCATTACAGTTTTTAAAAAGACCAACAAACTCTTAAAATTAACTGCCGCCAAAAAACAAATTTAATTGACAAACAGTGGCTCGACGTTTCAATAGTGAAAAAAAAATATTAATTCAGTTTTAACATAGGCCTAAACACTAGAGAAAACATTAATTCAGTTTTAACATAGGCCTAAATACTAGAGAAAACATTAATTCAGTTTTAACATGGGCCTAAACACTAGAGAAAACATTAGTTCAGTTTTAACAGGCCTAAACACTAGAGAAAACATTTTATGCATCTGAGTGCATTTTAATTACTATAGCAACGCAACTGAAGGATTACGCTTATAGGGTGAATAAATCCAGAAAATTGGCAAGTGAACCTATAAAGACATCTATAGTTAAAAGAAAAGTAAAGTTCCCCTTTCAGACCTTGTGGTCTATAGGGCAGGTGATGTAAAGGTCATCTGTTTCTATGGTTACTGTTTCTATGGTTCACGAACGTGTCATTTGGTCAGCACAACGACCAACCGCCTTTACTAACAGCTAATGTCAGGAACCCATTAGAGCTGGGTGGACTTAGAGGCGCCCAAAGATCCTGAAATTAAAAGTCTCAGTCTTCACCAGGATTCGAACCCGAGACACCCGGTTCAGCCACCGCACCTCCTTTCTTTCGTTATACTTTGGGTTCTATTGACTTCTCTTATGCATTTTTCAACATATTTAGCGTCTAATAGGCTAAACAAATTTTTTAGTAAATTGATTTTCTTTTTTGTTATCTGATTATCTTATCTTATATATATATATATATATATATATATCATGGGCGTAGCCAGAGGGGTTGGCGGGATCAGAATTTAGTGACTGATTTTTTGGTTTGATTTTGTTTATTTTAGGTGAGATTTTAATACTAAACCATCACTTGCCCCAGCACAACCAAAGGGGTTTTGAGTTTAAAACCCCTTACCAGGGGGTTTTGAATTTAAAAACCCCTACCAGGGGGTTCGAGTTTAAAACCCCTACCATAGGGGTTCGAGTTTTAAACCCCATACCTGGGGTTTTTGCAGTTCACTCCCCCTCTTCTATAAAACAAAACAAAAAATGCAAACGAAAATCCCCTAATTCCAAGAGCACAGTTAAGGAAGATTATGATTTTAAAACCCCCTCTAAAATTTACGATAAACCCCCTCTTTAACATAAAAAAAGCTAATTACACACTCAAATATTATTAGCGTAGCTAAATGGGTTTTGACTCGGTTTTGAGTTTAAATCCCACTTCAGCGGGGTTTGAAGGTAAAAAATACCTCTTTAATAATAAATACAAAGCAAATTATACGCTAAAAATGGTATGAGTGTAGTCAAAGGGGTTTTGAGTTTAAACTCCCCTCCAGTGGAATTTGAAGCTAAAAAAATATATCTTCAGTGTAAGAAAAAAAGCAAATTAAACACTCAAAATGCTATGAGCGTTGCCAAAAGGGTTTGAGTTTTTGAGTATATATATATATATATATATATATATATATATATATATATATATATATATATATATATATATATTATATGAGCTAGCGCTCCTAGATCTAATTTTTGACCTAATTTTATCTAATTTATATTATTTATATAGGCCAGGGCTATGATGTTTGTAATTTAGTGTCCTTTTTAATTTTTATAGTTCAGTGCTGAGTATTTTGTAGTTTCCGCTATTTATAACTTTCTGCTAGTTTTAGTCTTTTTCTGTTATTGGTGTTTTACTCGTAGAGGAAAAGTAGTTTTTAAAATAGTTAACTATGGATGTTATTTTCAATTTTTTTCCCTGGTTAGTTCTGCTTATTTTTGTCTTTGGCATTAGCGTTGGATTGGTTGTTATTTTTTTATATTAGTTTATGTGCAGGTCTGTAAACGGTATAGAGCCCCCATATGAGTTTAGAATAGAAATAACTTTGTATCTTCCTTTTTGTATTTTTGTAGATTTAAATTTTAAGATTCTCTTTTTAATGCTGTTTAATTTGGTATATAATGTTGTGTAGTCCGTGTCTTTAGTAATTTGCTAGATTTTATTGTTGTGTACGGCTAGGTACAAGTTAGGGGAAATAGGTAGTCCAGTTTAGTTGTAGATAATTAGCGTGACGTCATGCTCTCCGATATGTTCGCGCTGACCAGTTATAGCTAGCTCCGAAACCACGTTGAACTCTCTTTTGTCTTGACCAGTGGTCAGTGTTGACAGTGGTGCCTGTATAAAGTTATTTTTGTGTAGTGTAATTTCAGCTGGGACCGCCTGTAAGTTGGAAAATGTTATTATTTTTGCTTTCTTTCGTTTGTATTTGTATTGATTGTTTCTGCATCTATTGCTATAGTCTAGATGCAGACTGATTAGTGTAGTGGCATCACTGGCTAGTTAATTAGCCATGATTACCTCTGATGGAACCGGAAGTTCTGTAGACTTGGGTAGCGTCACCCCCCTTGCGCCAGCCTTAATGCCTTATGCTTTTCTATACTATGTCTATGTGTAAATATTTTATTATTTTATGTTTCCTATGTATTTTTATTAATATTTTATCGTTAGGATAACCACTCTATTTAAGTTGGCATTTTGTCCTACTTTTTAATGTAAAAGATGGCTGCGGCCTAAGCATCGCTGTCATGGCGGCTTGTTTAGTCTTATCTACTATTATTTAGATCTAGCTTATGTTTATTGTAGTCTAGCCTGACCTGTGTTGGTTGTGGCTGGGACTTTAATAACTCAGGTATTGCTTTTATTAGCTACATGTAGGTAATTGAAATTACCTCATGCTTGTATTATGTGTATGCACTAACTAGGTCTAGACCAGTCCAGTCTAATATATGTGTTATAGTCCATTATTATTTTATTTTTTGAATATTGTCTTATGTTTGTTTATTTTGTAATTGCATGCTATAATTACTGCCTTAACGGCCTGCCTGCCTTAGGGCCTAACTGCCTTAACGGCCTAGCTGCCTTACGGCCTAACTGTCTGCCGCAGTTATGCTTTACTGCTGCTAGTAGTTTACTGTGTAGTGTTGGGGTAATTTAGTTTATTTGATGGTCGGTTTAGTTAGTAATAGTTGTAGATTTAGCAACATAGATCCAGAGGCGGCATAGGGCTTTGGTTTGTGGAGTTGTTAAGTTCAGTTAAGTAGGGTTGATTAATTATTTAGTAGTGCGAATATATAGTTTTTGTTTATTTCTAAGTTTATTTTCATTGTCGTATTCACCTATATTTTTTATTGCTTTGTAAGTTGGTTGTAAATAAAGTGTATATAAGTTTGTTTTATAATTGTAGTTGGTTATTTTATCTTTAGTTAGCTAGTTTAGTTTAGTTTAGTTTAGTTTAATTGTGCTGTCTGGTTGTTTAGGCGACTCTAGCCCCTTGGTCGCAGACCGAGGTGCACAGATTGGGCCCACCTAGTAGAGCCACCACCTGCCTACTGTTTTTAAAAATGAACAAATGTTGAGCAGCAAGTAACAAAAAGGCCTCACTCAGTAGCGCCACCCTGACCTGCTCACACACACACACACACATATATATATATATATATATAATGTCTCCTTTTGTCTCGGAAGACAATTAATGAGGTCAGGTGGGTCACTGATTTTGTTTTCGTCATTGGACGGGGAAGAACCGGTGTGGCTAAT